CTTCCAGTCCATCCTCAACTACCTCGGCGAGTCGTACCCACAGCACGTTGCTGGTGTCTTTGCAGGCAACACCTTCTTTCGGAGCTCGTTTGGTGGCGCGCTGCCTCTGGCTGCGCCGCGCATGCTGCAGAATCTGGGCATCGGATGGGCGTCGAGCACACTGGGATTCATATCCCTCATGCTGGTGCCACTACCGTTTATTTTGGAGCGTGTAAGTGGCACGATTCGCAAACTGGAGTAGGACTAACCCTTGATAGTATGGGAAGAGGCTGCGATCATGGAGCAGATATGCGAACTAATATGGGCACAAGATGACGACGCCAATTGACATGTCCAAATTGCGACACTTTTTCCCCGTCAATGGGCGTCTTGTTGCAGCACACTGAGAGCGTCGCTAGCGGTGAGCATTTGGGGAGAAACAGGACTGATCTGATGGCTATTCCACGCGCAACAGGGCCTCGAGATCGTCTTCAGCCTGGGTGGCGATGATGCCTCACATTCTCTGCCTTCCCGAGAAGTAGCAGACGATAATAAATACCTAAAATGCAATGTTCTTAGCACCGAGACAAAATGTAAATAGAAATTGTATAAGTAGTATAGAGATAAACGACAACCAAATTTAGACTAGAATGGGACTAGTCTTGATAATGTCCCACTAGCAGTCTAGCTTCCTTACCCCGTACCCTAAACAGTGATCTGCCACATTGATCCGTCAAGATGAAGCTCTGTCAGGTTGCAATGCCGACTGAACGGTCACCACCCCCACATCCAATGACATGTGGTGGCGAGAAGCACGTCTCGACGAACGTTAAGATGACTGTTTAGTCGTATAGTTTCCAATCCGCTTAAGCCTCTTAGCTGTACAGCTGATGCCAGGTGTGTGTGTTAGCGCTCCCAACAGCTCTTCCATATGCATCGCATTCTGGCCCCAAAATCGACACAACGCACATGCTATTGCGACTTACAATAGTTTAGTCTTTCCCAAGAAACCGCTCCTCAAGATCGGAATGTCTACCCCCAGAACTTCTCTTGTCAAGGCATCCCTCACAAACACCAGCCGATCAAGAGACTCATTTCCGTAGTAGGTCCAGTCACCCGCTACCCAGTAGAGACAATCATTCATGCTGACACCCGCACCGGGCAGCTCTGTGGCCGTGTTGGTTACCAGATCCCAGTCAATGCGCCACTCCTCCCGCAGGACCTTCTTCTCGTATCCGTTATCTTGCTTGGTAGTGGAGTTCGTAATGATATCGAGCGGGTAGATTCGGGCCACGGTAGGTAGCATGTCGAGCGTTTCACCAATATTTCTGTAGAAGATCTCGCGGTACGACGCCATCATGTCCGTCCCGTTGTATTCGAGTCCCGCAAGGATCGTCGAATTCACGTCTTGGCTGATGGTGACGGTGATCGCCGCGTCTGACTTGCTCGGGTTGTCAACGAAGGTTCCCGTGTACGCTAATCCTTGATCTCGTGCGGCTTCGTCGATGGCCGGGACTAGTGTCTCGAGCACGGCGTTGTAGATAAAGTTGGCCGCTGTCGGAGGCCCAGCTGTGAGCAATACAATGGCGACTCCGTACTCATCAATGACGGCAACCTGGGACCTGTACCCTTGCGCAGCACCACCCTTGGCATAAAGGTCGATGGTATGGGGGTGCCTAGGTATCAGAGTCTGCGTGCGATAGATCTCCCATGGCATGCCGACAAGTGCATAGGGAGACCCGGTGGAGGAACTAGGCTTGAGCCATGCGAGAACATCGGCCTCAGTGTCGAGGATGGAACGATCAAGGATGCCGTGGAAGAATACCGACAAGTCCGACAAGGTTGAGACAAGACCAGCGCCACTAGTTATCAACAAGCAACGTGAGAACTTGGATGCTGTAGGGCAAAGGAGACAGAGCGTATGAACTTACGCAGAATAGTAGCTGTAGGACTTGCCCCAGAAGTTCTCAACAGGAGGGATGACGGCCCTCGCGTCGCTGCCAGGACTTTCTAGTGTGCTGGACATTGCTAAGCGCTCCGTGACAAGCTCTTTTACGAGCTGGGTATAATTCTTGCCCGTGACTTCCTGGATGGCGCGAATGAAGATGTGAAAAGAAATAGTGGAGTAGAATGGGCGGCTCGCCGGTTTCGCAACAGGATAAATGTCCAGCAAGGCTTCGAAAAGTTCTGTGAGCACATCAAGTTAGATATGAGCTCTCGCAGCTTGTGGTGGTCGTCAAGATGGGAGAAGGAATGTACGTTGTTCAGAACAGGGCTCGTTTAAACCAATGACACCGCACGGCTCATAGTCCTCATCCTCCAGCTGCGGAAAACCGAGAGACTCGTAGTATTCCTTGAGGGAGTAGAGCTCAAAGACCCCATCTATGCCACATCAATATCGAATATTTTGTTCGGATAGGCACAGGAGGAAGAAAAACGTACAGTATTGTGGTATGCCTGCGAGCCCACTGGCCAAGTGCCGCAATGTAATGGTGCCCCAATCAATGACACTCGAATTGTTCTTCAACACCGGGATGTACTTGGTGATAGGGTCATCGAGAGAGAGACCGCTCCTGAGCAAGATATAGTCCGAAATCACCTTGGATACCGAGCCTATGAGATACTGTGAGTCTCGGGTCACTTCCTTGGTCCCGTTCACGGTGTTCGGCGCCAGGTAATGGTACTCCCACACGGGAACCGCCTTGTCTGGCTGGTCCCAAGAGATGATACCGACCGAAAAGGACGTGTCATCGACTGGCCAACCCGCCTCAATCTCTCTAGAGGTGGCTAGTTGGAGGACTTTGTTAAGCTCAGACGAGGCAAGAGCAAAGGCGGGATGGGAGGCGATATCTGTAGGCCGCGGAACGATTGGTCCTGGAGGCCGGCAGTCGAAGGAGGCGAGCGCAAGGCCTGGCAATGTTGCTGCGATGAGGGTTTTTCGCAACATCATGGTATGACCAGGAATACTGTGCAGGCTTACTTTGCCAATGTTGGTGTTTTCGAGGTTAGATAAGTGCTTGCCGACAATGTCCAACGGGTGTCCTGTTACTGAAGCTCACGGGTGGGAGCTTTGTATAAATACTTACCTGGACTGTGAACTGTCTCTATTTGAGTCTAGCGAACAGTATTGCCCCCACACCTTGTCTCACTAGGGCCTATAAGCCACCTATTGACTACCGACGTCGCTGTAGCATATCATCTCGTCCCGGCTGTACTGGGTCAGGAACGCGATACGACAGGAGCAAGGCCTTCGAGTCCTCTCGTCCGATACGTGCAAGGCCCACCACCTGGTCGCCGTGTGGAGTGGTTCACGCGCGAGAAATATGGGCTCGCCAGGTGTCTACGTACTTGCTGGCTCACGTACAGATTGCAGCTAGGCCACATTGCGTTGCTAGCCTCACAAAAGCGCAGGGCGGGCTTAGCTTCGGTACTTTCGTAGCGTAGAGCGCCAGGATAATGAAGCCCGGTGCATGGGCTGTTGCCAGCGCTTTCGGTATTGGTGTGGCGAAGAATTCGTCATATCCGATTCCGATCGGATTCTCACTTTCGGTATTGGCGTGCGAAGTTATTCGTCATTTCCGATCGCATTCTTCCAGTTGCCAAGGCCGCCGTATTTCGCAATACCGGGGTCCCATTGAGGCTGTGTGGGCGGCAAGCTTACGGCTGAGGAGAGGCTATTATCTTAAAGGCAGCCGCCCCCTGTGGGGACCGCCAATGCCTTGGGGAACGGAACTGGAGTTGAGCAGAGGATAGGTTGGAGTTGAAATCTGGGTCTAAGCCCGCCGTCTCATTGTGCCATCGGGCTATGTGTTTTTGCAACTCTTCATGGATCGGATTAATAGAGCCAATTAATTTAACTCGCTGGTCATATCGCATTACTCCTATCGATTATTCCAAATGGGACAACATAGACACCGATTCGGAGCCAGAGCTTTCGTCCCAGCGGGCGTCGGCGGCGGAATCAGCTCCGCAGCCCGCGAATGCCGGTCACAGTTGCATACATCGGTTTCGACGGGACGCAGACCGATGCGTAGCATGTAGAGTTGCCATTGTTCGCTGCGTAGTTGAAAAGTGAAGGTTCCCGCTTTAGTCTGCTATCACAATACCTGGAGATCATCCGATGTTCTTTGCGGCAAGTGCCCCTTATCCCGGCGTTGATCGGAGTCCCTTTGGTTCAGCTCCGCGCGTTTGCCCACCTGTGCGTCTTCCCTCTCCTCCGTTTGCCTCATCTGCCACCCGATTTTGACGCCGACCAAGAACTTGATATCTACGATAGCCTCGCCTAATTCTTGCCTTGTTACTCCCCATCTAACCCGACTCTCTGATGCCATCTTCAATTCCGGCCGCTCTTCAAAACCGAATCTGACCGCCTGACACCCCTTTCGAAGACGAAGAAAACCACGATTTCACGAGCAATGTTTTGGCGTCATTTCCGTGGCTGGACACTCTCCGAATGAAGAAGAGTCACTCGCTCTTCGCTGGGCTTTCGGAGACGACATCCAAAAGGTGAATAACTGCAGGCGCTGGCGTAATAAACTCATCCCTTAATCCACTACATCCACTATATCCGTTCCACGACACTCTCGCTATCTTCCAGCCTTGTTGAAGCGTCAGTACGGCGCCGAAATACAGTTACTACCGTGGCTGTAAGCTGTGCGGTGGTACCATCGCGTCGCATTAATTCCGCCTCGCGCTCCTCTAACTTCGAGACCCTGCCATCCACCTAGTTATCGTCTGCTGTGTGACTCGGAATATTAGACCGTCCCCCTGCTGGATAAGCTGCTGGTTGAAGCCGGAGCCGCTCATTTATTTCGTGTATTCGAGCGTGGATTTCCGTCTCTTGCGTCTGGCATACAAGTCGATATCTGGGCAATGAACGCGCGGCGCCCATAAAGGTGCGGTCGGATAAGAGTGTGGGGCGCACAGGCAAAAAGCGCTGGTTTCGCCAGCCTGGCCGGCCCTTAGCGATAAGGAGACAGTAGAACGCCGTAGCCGAGCATCTCGGCCATCCCTCCCTCCCGCTAGCAGCTCGTGTCAGCGTCAATCAAGTTCATCAAGTCGCGCGCAAACCGCGCCGGCCACTCCGCGTACTGCCGCAGCTCCCGCGGCAGGTTCGCGTAAATGTTCCCAACCCAGACGCAGACCATGATGTTGCGGGAGTCGTAGTCGTGCAGCGTCGCCGTCACAGGCCGCCGCTTCTCGTCGCTCCCCTCGAGACGCCCGGCCATGATGCAGTCCAGCACCAGCATGTGCATGATGATAAGCCGCGAGACGTGGTTACCCGGGTTTACGAACGAGGCGTACTCGTTGGCCGTGAGGTGGCCAAGCTTCTCGTACAGGAAGGTGTGCTGCCGGTAGCCTGACGTTGTTAGCGGAGACCTCGAAGACCACGTGTGACCACGAGACATACTCTCGGCCAAGTCGTCGCCCACGGACGAGGCAATCCGCCGCATCAGAGCTAGGTACTCCACCTCGGCGACGCTCTGTAACAGCCGCCCCAACTGCTCGAGGCTCGCACAGAAGCCGTCCGCCAGACCCCGTTCGTGGAAGTGGTGCGCCTCCGGTGTCACGAGCTCGACGGCGCGCTCGACGTACCACTCGCGCTCAATCGTCTGAAACACCGAGGACCGAAACTCCTCCCCGATCATCGGTCCCACGAGGAAGCCTGCCATGTCAGCCTAGAACAATCAGGGACGGGACAAGACTTACACCCTCGCATCATGGTGAGAAAGTCGTACAGCCCATCGGGCATGTGCGCCGCCTGGTAGGTCAGCACCAGGATGGCCGCAAACGCGGCGACGGCATCGGACACCGAATGCTGCCCGCGCGCGAGGAACTCGTTGAGGCGCCTGATGGCGACGACACGGTGCTGCAGCGCGTCCTGGACGTATCTTGTCGGCCCCAGCACGCTGAGGTGCGACGCCCCGAGGCCGAGCATCGCGTGCGCCAGAAAGTCGTGCTGCTGGGTCAGGACGCGGGACTCGAATACAGCGGCGGCAGGCTCACCTCGTGTGACATTTGCGACACAAGCTGCCAGACGGACCACCCGCCGATGGGCAATGGCGGGTACGCGCAGACGAGAAAGTGCTGGAAGAAGCGCAGGTCCGCCATGCTAAAGGTGCCGGGCGCTGGCAGCGCTCTGGTCGGGGCCGGAGGTGCCGCTCTCGTCACTGCTACAGCATCGCGGCCCGCCCTCGAATATTCGCACCCCAGGCCGAGACGCCGGCACGGCCCGCACTCCGGGATCACCTCGTCACACTTAACCTTACGTTTTTTGCAGTTAGTGCACCCGGCGCGCGACTTGGTGTGGCCCTTGCGGGGGATCGGGCGCCGGCGGGCAGTGGCCGGTGCCGGCGACGTTGATCCCGGGGCAGGCGAGATTGAACCCGACGACGTTGTGTATAGTGTGGCTTCTTGGCTGGACATTTTGCAGACGATTGCGACCGGGTGATGAGAGATGGGGCGGAAAAAGGGCTGATGTATTCATAGTCGGGCCTGGTCAGGCCGTCTGACGGTGCAACCCAACCGAGATCCGGCACGCTATGCTTGGCAACCAACCAATTCAGTTGCCCGGTTGATTAGGCTTGAATCTGCCTTACCGCCGCATTCTCGGGCTGAATTTTCCACGGTGGAGAAGCGATCAGCGTCCAAGACGTCGCAAAAGAGCACATTACCAGCAGACCATCGAGCCTATATCCGGGCATCGATTAACAACAGGTAGAAGAAGCTGAATAAGTATTATAACAAACTCGGAGAATCTCCCTTGTTTGCGGCAGCGATCATTCTTCATCCGAGGTTCGGGATCAGCTGGTTAGAAGCCACTTGGGTGTCTGAGGAGCAACTCGCTTGGGTTCGTGATGCCAAGGCTGGAATCAAGGATTACTTTACCCGTTGGTACGATGCGAACCAGGGACTGTGTGAAGAAACAATGACGTACGATGCAGCGCCAAGGACGATGGGCCAGAGGATGATCAGTACACTTAATGGATTAATAGCAAGACGAAGAAAGCGTTTGCGATGGGCGGCAGTGTTGGCGAGCTCGAAAGGTATCTCCGTCTCGAGCCACAGGATACGCAGGATGCTATCCAATGGTGGAGAGACCACAAGGCTTCGTTTCCTTCACTGAGCAGCTTTGCTCTGGATGTCTTTGCTATTCCAGAGATGGCAAGCGATTGTGAGAGACAATTTAGCCTAGCGAAGCTGACGTTGACGTCTCAGAGGCTTTCGATGGGCTTGGATACATTGGAACACGTTCAGTGCCTCAAAAACTGGGCCAGGCAAGGCGGAGTAAAGTTGGGCAGCTGGGTGGGTAGCTGACTTTTGGTGTGCACGAGGGGATGACTTCGCGTAGGGGTCTCCACCCATAGAATTTGATATAGAACATCAATCAATCGAACAAATCAACTTTGAGCTCGAGGGCTATCAATCAGATCAACTTTGAGGTCAAAGTTGATTTGATTGACATATGATGAGCGCTGCTCCCCAGCCTCTCATTTTCTCCACCTTTCAAACCGTCATTGCGTTTAATTGTAACGTTGCAAGGCATCCTCAAAGCGTCACCCGGATACCCTAGACACATCCTCCAAAAATGCTCCCACACAAGCTTTTGAATAAACTTTTGAAAATCTCATTAGCGGGCTGTTGGAGCACTCGAAAACCGCCATAGCCATCTTCGTTCCTCAAGGCTCTTTTGCGCAAACCGCGACCGGTTTGCCTTCTGTATTCAGTTCAGCTGGCTGTTTCAGGAAACCTCTGTGGAGTCAACAAGGATACTAAGCCCTCCTTTCATTGGTTTGAGCTCAGACCATGCTTTCGTCTCGACACCGAGTCAGATGCTTTCGTTTGCGTGTTTTTGAGCCAACGATAAATAAAAAAATGGCTAGATACATCGTTGTGGTTGAATTTTGACAAAATAAAATGCCTCTGTCGACTACCCGCCCGAATTCCATCAAGTCCTCCTGGAGGGAGCCCGATTCGCATGTCCTATATTCATTAAACAAGAAATATTGTAAAACATAAAAGAAATGAAGCGCTTTTCCGAGGCTGGGTGAAGAGGTGTCCGGATTATCATTTATTGCGGTATCCGGATTATCCTTGATCTTATCAAATGAACCGGGGTATCGTGTTATTTAACAGGGATGGCGTTCGATTTAAAACCAATGCGTATTAATTCCTAGAATCGACAAGGGTGCTATTCGTCGAAGACGCGATCTTATTGGCTGAGCCCCCGAACACGATGATCCCAACTCTGATCAGGATCAAATCCAGCCAGTTTACGCTTAGCAATGCGGCATTTGCAAGGCAAGGACAGGCTCAAAAGGTGACCCTCAAATTTGGCCGTGGTCACACAGAAGCATCCTGATTTGCTGTTCGGTTCCTGAGATCGAGGTCCCAAATACGGCAATATATTTCTACTCCTTCGAGTACTCCAACGTGACCATTTCCCCTTTCATCTAAACCTCTCCAATCTTCATATTCTTCTCAACTGAGAGCCATTTGCCTCGCCCTAGCATTTGCAAACATTGGAATTGCTCAATGCACTCCCTGTCGAAGATGATGCGAATACACCGAAGACTTTTAGCCCGTGACCTTGTAGCTTTTGAATGTTTTCTTCATAAACTGGTTCCCTTCCACCCCGTAGTATGCCTTGCCTTTGCAGTTGGTCTTGCTGTAGGCGGTGTACCCCTTTGCGTCTGGCCAGCCGCCAGTCTCGGGGTTGAAATGAATTTCAGTTGTAGGCCAGTTGTAATCAGAGCGAAGGTTGGTGCATTCGTTCCTTTCATGTCCGTTTGCGAAGACCTTCTTCGTTCGTGTGCCCTTGCTGGCGAAGAAATCGAGTGTCCAGGCTTGCGCCACGGAGGCCATGGCTGCGGCGGCGAGGATGGAGGAGACCTTCATGATGAGTTGCTGGGTGTGGGTATTGACCTTCGAGGGGCGATGGTTAAAGTTGAGGTTGACGAGTCCTCTTGCTTCTTTCGATGCATTGAGCGGCCTCTTATAGTTATCCTGAGGGTGATGCTTTAGCAGGGGTCAATCCAGGCATCTCACATCTGTCCTGGACTCGCAAAAGTAAAGAAGCTGACTGCCATAAGCTCGTTCTTCAACGGAGCTGTCAGTTGCTCCGTCAGTTGTGCCATCTTACCACTAGTGTGAGGCATTTCTGAACTCGGCGAGCCGAATAAGCTATGCTGCCGGGTGGACTAACCTCATAGGGCCAAATTATAGGGGCGGAGTCGAGCTGTAGTTGTGTCAAATAGATCAGACCCATGAGATTTTCAGGGAAACGGCGTTGCTTGGCACAGCAGCAGTCCGCGGAAAGTTCCGAATACCTCTCCAGCTACCTTATTTACGAGGGAGTAGTTGTACCTTCTGATGATGAATTGGACAGCCCACTGCGGTATTAGCTTGAGCGGCCATGCTAATTATAATATTAATTTTCCTGCCTAACGCAACCGTGGCCGTCGCTGGCTCGTGAGAAATTGCCCCCAACAGATCAGGGAAGGATCGTCTGTCTCGTCGCCACTAATCCATTTTTTCTCGGTCAGGGTTGACATGGTCTGGATCCATTCAGTGAAAATCGGTCCATCATTCGTCTGCTCTAAGCACTGCATAAACAAATTCCGCGGTTTCTCATCTCGGTATTCCCCTCCTTGGGGTCATGTGCCGTGAAACCCCAGAAGTCAGTCTCCTCTGTTCCTGATCCGCGGTACCATTGCCTTCAGCCGATCCAATCTCTCCTGTTCCAATATTGAGCCATTGTCATCATTCCTCGAGTCGCTCGTTCTGGTCTCGAATCTGCCGATTGATTCCGTCGAGTAGTTCTTACTGTGACGCTTCGTCATGCGCCAACCTCTCCTAAACCCAAGGGCAAGCCATGCGCATACCTACTGAAGGACTCCCAACCGAGATTCGATGGATACGAGGCGCACACCCGTGGGAACAAAGGCGCCTACAAGGTGGCTAAGTAAGCCACAGGCTGGAGACAAAACGGTCCCCAGGGCCGCCAACGGAGACGCTACGGGAGCTCTACCCGCTTCGGTCGACGCTAAGAACGTGGCTACACAAGGAGGCGGCAGAAAACCGAGGCAGAACCTCCTTCCGACACACACTGAGACCAACGGATGTTGTTGGGAATCACTCCTATTAATGATGTGATTCAGACTTTCATCGGCTTGGACTCCTTCACACCCCTTTACACTCCTTAATCGCGTGGCAATGGAAGCGGGGCGCGTCGCGCTGCACACGGGACACGCCCTTGGGGGATCCGACAGAACTTGAAATCGTGGTCGGCCCTGGCACGTTTGGGACCCAACGGCCACGTCGCACGACAACGCTCAGCACAAGAGCTCAAGAGAACCTCAAAGCGCAAGAGAAGGTTCTAGAGAAAAGCTCAGGAACAGTGAAATGGGCAGCAACCAATGCCACGCGAACCTCGAGCAGCGGGAACGATGATCTCTTGGAAGGCAGAAATAACGCGGATTTAGGTGTAACGTGGATGATAAGCTTGTGCACCAAACAAGTTGTTGGAATGGGGATAGAAATAAGGCAAGAATCACGATCATCGTGAACGATCACAACCTGCATCAGGCAGCAGCCTGCTGCCTATGATATTGGAAGACTGAACATAGGTATAAGAGGCCGACCTTCGTCGCTCCCTTGGATAGAATTAAGCAGCGCAAAGAAATCTCTTCTGGTCACACCCTCCGTTGCACAACTCGTCTTTTGAGTATAGGCATGGGAGGCGTCATCTGCCACAAATCGCCTGGCCGGGCAAATAAGGTAGTAGCCAGGTACTCGGTCACTCTCGGTTCGCGAGACGACCAGAACTCATACACGGCCGAGCTGGAGGTGATAGCGATGGCACTTCGATGTATGCCCGACGGACTTCGATGCCGAGAGCTTACGGTATTATCGAGCAGCCAGTCATCCCTAAAGGCGATTACACGACCACAACAGCAGTCGGGCCAGGGCACCATGTCGCATATCACCGCTAGGTTCGTGCGACTGGATATGAGTCGTGGCTCACACTTTGGGGTCGTGTATCCGGTTTCACATCCAACTTGTCGCATCAAGGATTCCAATCCTAACGACATGAGCTTAAGTAGCTCTGCCCGAACACATGGCTGCTCAATTTCTTCTGTTCTTCAGATAATTCTCATCAATTGACTGGTGCCATCAATGATCCCTGTGGAGCCAGTTGTCTGACACGAGGTGATCTTCGACAACGGCCTCGGCGAGGGGTATGTTTGTAAAGGCAAGGTCAATCGTGTTTCCGTGCGTATTTGTCGGTATACCTGGAGTGTTTAGTAGGTCAAGGTCATTTGCTGAGGACCAGTCCACAATGTCTTAACCCCGGTTGGCGGTACCTATGTCCCGTCTGTCAAGCATGATGTCTGGCGTTAAAGTCACCGGCGACGAGGCAGCGTTCCGGAACAGGCTATCGTAGCAGTGTATTCAGGGCATCGCTGTCGTCATTCTAACGATAGAAGTTGACTATCGTCATGTCGTTGATTGTAAGCCAAAGAGTATCTCGAGTCTAAAAGGGCCGAACTTGGTCCGCTAGAAACCTCGGGTGTCGTCGGACATATGTCATAACTCTAGGCCGAGCGTCATTACTATCCCATGTCTCGATAGGTGTGAATGTGTCGTATGCCGGGTGGGTTTTGGTCAGAAAGCAGGTGTCTGTGTAAGTCGTCCATGGTTCCTGCAGAAGGATGATGTCGTATCGTTCGGAATCGGCCAGCGCCAGGGCGCAGTCGTGGGCAGGGGGGATCTTGCCGATGTTAGCCTGAAAGATCCTAAGCGGCTTTCCGTCGCTCTTGTGTGTCTGCGAATGTCTATTCCTAGTCATGAGGGCGGGTGATAAGGACTATGCGGCGCTTTCTTGGTGAACCAGGCGGCCAGGCCTAGGGTGATCTGGTTCTTCCTCTGCTTCGGAGGTTGTAGCCACCATGATGCATGAGGGCGCTCTCGATGCGGCTGGACTAGACACGTGGGTATCTAGCTGCTCTTGTGATGGACTGATATCACTCTGCTGCGGTTCAGATACGCGTCGTTGTGGTTCTAGTCGCGGTCCTGGGTTGCGCTGACGGTATATTTCAGCACCTACTGCTCGGACATGTTCTCTCTGCTCTTTGGTCAGCCGGCGAAAGACGACGTGTATCTTCTTCGGGCCGGCCGGGCACTTGTGAAAGTTGGCTTCATGAGGGCCAAGGCAGTTGACACATTGTTCTGGTGCAGCGCAATCATCTGGCGTGTGGCCAGTCTTGCCACAGCGTCGGCAAGGAGGCTGTCTGTTGCAGACACGGTCTGGGTGATAGTCCCAGCATGTTTCACACTGTCTGGGACGATCGGTTTTGTCGATAAGCTTGCTAACACGGCTGCCAAAGAGGGACCAGTATTTCTTGGTCGGTCTCAGGAAAGATACAAGTAAGGTCTTAGTCAAGGGGTTCTCTGACAAGTGTCGCGAAGGGCGCACGTCAACCGGCTTGCGCCCCGTCTGCATTTTTATTTTGTCGTTGACAACACTTTCGCTATCCAGTTCATTGCCATGGAAGTTGGCCAGTCTGCGAGGAAAGTCTGCGACCGCGTAGGTAAACCACTTCTTGTTAGTCTCTACTGCGGTGGCCCCAAAGCCTGACGCCCACTCGGCCTGCTTCTCTACAAGGAAGTCGCGGGTCTCAAGATCGGTCGTCTGGGCAGCCCATCCCGATTTAACTTGGAATACCTGTCGAATCTTGTCCGAGGCGGTACCAAGCTTCTCGCAGATGTGAGTCCGGATCGCGTAGCTACTTTGGGCTCCGGCCGGAGCTCCGGCCTCAAGGCGGATGAAGACACGGAGGTCCTCTCGGGGTGGGGCGGTAGTTGTCCGCTGTCCCTGGCGACGAGAGGGGGGGGGCTTGTTGTTGGCGCTGATGGGTTGGATGATTATGAGAGCAACAGTAGGCGAAGCGACGACGCTTGCAGTACAGCGCCGTGCCGCGTGCTAGAGTCGCGATGATCCGAGAACTGAGCCTGGGACTTCTGATCAACACCAATGTTCCCTTTTCTTTCTTTAGCGATTCATTCTTTCAGCAGCTCACCTGGCAACTTGACCCTCATCTATCTGATCAGATATCAGGGAGCCGGCAATCGATGAGCCGCTTGTTGGATGACATGTACAAGACCAAGAACGATAAGGTCAAGCAGGAGCTCTCGGATGCCCTTAGCAAAATTCACCTGGGGTTCGACCTGTGGACATCACCGGATCGACACGCTGTCATGGCAGTCACGGCTCATTTCCTTGACCGCCAGGGGAAGCACCCTCGATATACTTGCGATACCGGCGATGGCGACTGATTGCGAGAGGTCGTTCAGCCTAGCCAAACTAACGCTGACGACGCAGAGGCTTTCGATGACGACGGAAACACTGGAGAAGTTGCAATGTCTCAAGAACTGGGTCAGACATGGCGCGGTGAAGCTGGGAGCGACAGCGGTGGGGAGGGATGAACTCCAGTGGGAGATTGGAAATAGTAGTATGGAGAACACAGATGTTGAGATATGAAATGTTTGACATATTTGATCAAATATTTCAAACAACAAATCCAGTACTGGAGGCTATCAAATATCTCAAATATGACACTGGATTTGGTTTGCCGCTGGGGCAGCGCTGCCTCAACGACAAACCAACGACCCGAACCAGGATGATGACTATAACAAAACTAAAGCTGAAATACCAGCTTGGGCTACTTCCATACTGCACAAGCTCAGTGATTTGAAGCAATGTGTTCAGTCGATTAAGAAACACACCTAGTCCTCCAGTCCAAAATTAACTCTAGTAGAGTTGATTTTATTGACCCACTTTAAACCTAGTAGGGTTGATTATTGCCAGGGTGTAGAGTTGATTTGACATTGTTCTATATACAGGAATAGTAGTGCTGATCAGAACAGGCAGGGGTTTATCCAGAACGCGACGCGTCCTTTCGCGTAAAGTGCGATAGGGGGGTATATCATACTACTAAATGGTCTCATTATTGATCGAAACATAATCATCATTCAGATCTTACTATCAAGGACCAAGTCACTATAACGATTACTATGACGGCTTCGAACTTGCAATCTGAACCATGCAGTGCAATTTATCCCTACTCTTCTATTCCTAATTGTCGTGTACCCCTGTCCACTTCTCAACTGCTTGTCTATCTCCGGTTTATTTCCATATAATCCATTCTATAGCGACTGATTTGTCCCATTTCGATCGATGATCTGCGCGCGCGTCACTCACGCGTGTGAACGCGTACTTTAGCTTTTATACGTTATCCACCCTCTTTACTGTAATTTCAATCCGAGGTTTCTTTCCAACGATCTTTACGAGCTCGTGTTATCGAACGGCTAGTCGAGTATAGCCGACTTCCACTATGGAACTTGAAGATCTCTTTTAATACGATCCTTCTTGGCGTATCATTGTTTGCAAACAGTGTGGCGTGTACCGCCAACCAGCATCGCCCAGCATGTCCAATCCAGTAGGCAAATGCGACTTAGGTCTTATGGCCGCGACCAATTTTTTTGGCTAAACTTAATTCTATTATATACCATCCACAACCCCTCTTTCGGCATAACCCCTCTTTCGGCAAGCAAAATAAAAAAGCCACCACCAAAAATCAACAACTTCACTTACACAGAACTTGACCGAATTGATAGAAATCCGTGAAATTTTTCGTTTCATAAATCATAAATAGGGTTTATCTATTGTACTCTGGTTTTTTTCGCCACCCGCCGCGACCGCCTGGGTGGTTGGTGGGGTATGTTTTCCTCTCTGACTTCGATGACAGAACCAGCCTCCGATTCTGACTCTTGCTCGCTTGAAGAGACAAATTCCACCCCAACAGGCATATAACGAGTCGCCCCTTCTGGTATGCACTCTTTACTAGCTAGAGTCTCTCCAAGAGTCATAAAACGTTTGTTAGGATTCGGCACCGCCTTCCTCTTCTTCCCTCTTTTCAGCCGAGCCAATTCTTCTTCTAGGCTGGCAATCCTCTGCGTATGCGCCGCTACTGTCTGCTGTTGAGCTTCAAAGCCCTTGGCTATCACGTTATACCGTCTCCGCGTCTTTGGTGTTTTGTTCAACCCAAGGTCACGAATTTGACGGCTCGTCTGTGGCGTATCGTCCGAGCCAAGATACGGCCTGGGTTCAGGAGTCACTCTTGGGCTGCCGTTTGGCCCATCTTGTTGGATTTCAGGGTGCCGTAACGCTTTCGCACGTGAAATTGGCCAGTTCCCAGTGACCCTCCAGCCAGACAGTATGTTCTTCTTGGTCATTCCAACTCGGCGAGCCTTGGCGTAGGCCCTGATGAAATTGACCTTGTCCATTGGAGCGGAATCAGTCAACGAAGCGAACTTTTCCAACTCTCGTCGATATGCAGCCTTCGACGCATTAAATACTCCATTGTCCAGTGGCTGGAGTCCATGAGAGCAGTGTGCTGGTAGATAGCAGCAATAAACGTTGTTCAAAAAGCACGTGGCCATCCATTCATCCTTCCATCACTCAGCACTGATCTTGAGGTGGGGAAAATAGTGAACATATTGTTGCATGGCTTCCATGACCATCTAAAATGATCAGTCTCGCATCAGAGTCGTCGGCAGGCGTAGTCTGGGGCAGATAAACTCTTTCAAGCCATTCAATGCCTATGTGGTCATCAGTCCACCCGTTGGGCGATGTTATATAATACCAGTCTGCTATCTGCTTGAACTCATCAAGAAACCACTGTTTCTGGAGTTGTTTCCCCTTGAATATTATGCCAGGAACTAAAGCGCGGCCGTCAGCAGTGACGGCTTCGATGAATGAAGTCCAATTCCGAGTCTGTGGTCCCTTGAGGAAGGCCTTGCGCTTCGGGTCCGCGCTTCCAACAACTAAGCTATCTAGGCCTGAATGAAGATAATTAGTCGGTCAAAATGCAAGCACCGACAAGTAATAGAGGTGAATACTTGCCGAAACCAGTCATAATACCGCCTTCATCAACGTTGACGGTGTTTTCAGGCTTGATCCAACCATATTGGCCCTCCCTGATATCAAAGTACCAATGAACCGCTCTAGGTGTGAAAGAGTCGAACCTCTTGGCTTCTTGACGTCTGCCCATCTTGGTCTTTAGGTCTGCACGGCGATTGATAAACTTGTTCACCCAGTTGCGTCCTAAGTCGGGATGTTCGCCCTGCTGTCTCAGCAGGCCCATGACGCAAGCGCGGATCTGACTGTGGGACGGAGCATAGCCCAAAGACTGCTGACGGAGTATCCAGAAAGCGAGCCTATCCTCTTGGCTCTTGGACAAGCGTCGATAAGGGTGGACCTGCTCTTTCACGGCCCCGCGGCCGTTAAGTCTGTCGATTAGAGTGCTCCGAGGCACTCCCCGTCTCTGAGCGGCTTGAGGAGGTGAAAAACCATTATCAGTAACATCCAATATTGCCTCTGCCATGTCTTCCTCTGTGTATTTCCATCGAAGTCTTGACCTAGGCATTTTCATATGTTGTCGCAGATAAAGGCCAAAAAACACAGAAAAGAGCGGTGAAGAACTTGATGATCGAATTAACACTATTTCTATAGCACGGTATGCATACATCGCGTACCCCGCACAGCCTTAGAGGGCTACAATCGTTAACTCCAATCATTTCTATAATCAGCAAAGGCATTGTCCTCCAAGTAGCTATTTATTTTGGCCAATATTTGTGTAAGTGAAGTTGATGAGTTTTGGTGAAGCTTTTTTTATTTTGCTTGCCGAAAGAGGGGTTATGCCGAAAGAGGGGTTGTGGATGGTAGTGGATAGCTGCCCACGCTAGAAGGCGTGCGATCAGCCGTTCTAGTCCCTTACCGAGGCAACAGAGCAGAGAGACAGGTCGCCAAGCTCGTGGCGACGCGAGATCACGGCGTCCGGGCTTGGCGATCATGACCACTTCTGCCTCCTTGAACGGTTTTGGGTGGTGGCCTGTAGAGGCATCTTTCGAACAGACGGCGAACGTGTGTCCCGATGATGTGTCATACGGCTTTCAGGAGATCGACAGTGATGTTATCTGATCCACGTATAAACACCCTTCCTCGTTACAACCTAACTTATCGTTTGTTAGCGGTTAGATATATGGGATCGGATCCGTTGTAGGTGGCGGCTTTTGCCATAATAATAATCCCCTTTAGTTTATAATAATATTAGGTATGCCCTGAACTTGCTTTGCAATCTCCATCCTTACTGCTGCTTTGATACCCTTATAATATTTCTTTAAATATAACGTACATGATAAGCATATGCACCAAACAAGTATGTGCACCAAAAATCCCTCAGCCATCACAAACGCCAATTTGATCGATTAATGCTCAACCAATGACCATGCCTCAACTTCATTCTGAATGTCAAATTCTTCTTGCACTTCAAGCGCTTCGAAACAACCCAAAGTTAGGTCTCCGAGGCGCTGCTAGGTTATACCAAGTCAACTATTGGGCGTTACGTCCCCGACAAAATGGGATTCAATCGCGACGTGACTGGATCCCGAAATCACGCAAACTATCTGATCTGGAGGAACAGATCATAGTCAAGTTCATTCTCGACCTAGATTCGCGAGGATTTCCCCCACGATTACGTGGTGTGGAAGAGATGGCCAACCGATTACTCGCCGATCGTGACGCGTCACCCGTCGGCAAGCGTTGGGCTATGAACTTCGTCAAGCGACACAAAGAGCTCAAAACGCGTTTTTTTCGTAAGTACGACTACCAGAGAGCCAAGTGCGAAGATCCAACCATTATTCGCAATTGGTTCGGGCTCGTGCAGAACACAATCGCCAAGTACGGCATCCGATCAGATGACACCTGGAACTTTGATGAGACTGGTTTTATGATGGGCGTCATTGCAAGTGGAATGGTTGTCACAGGTGCAGAAAGGCGTGGAAAGCCGAAATCAGTGCAGCCTGGAAACCGGGAATGGATTACCGTCATTCAAGCAATTAATGCCGAAGGCCAGGCGATCCCGCCGTTCATCATAGGTGCGGGACAGTATCACCTCGCCAACTGGTACCGAGAAAGTAGCCTTCCGGGCGATTGGGCTATTGCAACGACCCAAAATGGCTGGACCGATAATGAGATGGGTCTCGAGTGGCTAAAGCACTTGGACAGGTCTACAGCCAAGCGATCCAACAGTCGCTATCGTCTTCTGATCCTTGATGGCCACGAAAGTCACCACTCGGTCGACTTCGAGAGATATTGTAAGGAGAACAAGATCATCACGCTTTTTATGCCGCCTCATTCGTCTCATCTGCTTCAGCCTCTTGATGTCGGGTGCTTTTCC